CCAGAAAGATCTTTCTGATTATCAAGCAACAGGGAAGAAACACATATTTAAATTCCTATAGCACTGCAGCACCTTCTAATTCATTAAATATTTTTTTGTTTGTTTTAAGTGATGTTATTTGAGACATTCTGGGCTTTCAAGGGCATTAGGAAGGCTGCACTTCAAACAGAACTCTTGAAACTTACATCAAAGGCCCTGTCAATGTGACCGGCGTGATATTCGTCAAAAAACGTGATTAAGTCTAGCAGAAGGTAGAACGTGGAGTCAACTGATTTCTTTGCACTTATCCCCTGAGCTTTGTACCTGAAACAAATTGTTTTAGAATCTTATTGAGCAAAATGGCAACGATTTATAAACACGCTCTCACAATTCTTGGAAGCGAAGACATCCAGCACAAGGACAGAAGGCATCTCACAAAGGACAGCTCTAGTTTTCCTTAACCACGAGGCAGAATTTTCACAGGTCGGGGCTTTTTTAAAATACTTTTATTCACTTCTAGTTTTCCATCAAATCCAGCATTTCCTTTCAATTGTTTACACTTCCCATATGCATGGGGAAAACGGTGACAGGAACTAGAGACCCGCAAGGCAAGCGCTGTACTAGCACGTTTAACACGCTGCTTCACAGCGGACAGTTCTCCAGGAGAACTGCCCGCTTCAGGCAAGAAGTTAAGACTTAAAAATGGATTAGACGCTTCTGCGTGCTCTCTTCAGCTGCGCTCGCTAGGAGATGAATTGGAAGGCTGGCTGCTCTCACTCCCAGCAGCACAGGGTCAGCAAGGAGCTCCTTCCTCAAGGCAATAGTAAGAGCAGTCAAGTGCACGGCACACACTGTGCACTGTGCTGCTGCAGAGGAGGAAGCCAGAGAGCCTCTTGGCCTCTTCTGTCGGGCGTCTCCCCTGTCCAACATATCACAAGAACGCACAGGAGGAAAGCTGCGTCGCTACAGTACTGTCTGCAGTACGGGACATGAAGAAAAGCCCTGTATGACATTTAATTGCCAAGAAGATCAGCTACTCAGAATTTTTCTGGCTTTGCAATCATGAAGGTCTGCAGCTGCAAAAGGGCATTATTGAACAGCAATATTTAATGCTCTCATACAGATCAAAGCAGGTAGCTAACCAAAGCCCATTAAGCCTTTGCTGAGGCTTAAACTCAAGCCATAGGTTTAATTCTCCTTAATGTCTGCTACCAAATGAGCCTGAGTCAATACGGCAACAATTTGCACTCAGCCTGCAGCCTGACTAAATGAAGGAAAGGCTGACCGAAGGAGTGACTGGCAAATGCCACTTGTTAAAAGCGGAAAGGCAAAAGCCTCTGACTGAAATCAATACATTTCTGTATTTGTCTTCCCAATTTTGAAGTGGCAGCAAGCATGCTTGGTTTATTTTTGTTCTCTCCCCACTAGAACAGTTGAAGAAAAGCAGCAAGACGTTTCTCACAGGTACCCACATTTTGCTCTAGTAAAATACAGAAATTGTCCACGGCAGTCACTGTGACAAGATGCACCAAAAGAAGATGGTTTATAAAAAATTACCAAAGCTATTTTGCAATTACAACCTTTCAGAAGCAGGTTATTCCTAACTTCTAGCTGCTAACGAATCTTGAGCACTGATGTCTCTCAGACACGTATCCTAATCAGCACACCGACACTGCAGGTGACAGTCCTTTTGGTCACTTCCATCTCTCTCTTTTCTAAACACCGCATTCCTAAAGGAAGAGGCTATGGAAATGAGATTCGCTGGTTACGTGACCCATATATATACACCTCAGCTTCGATATTCCCTTTTCAGCTTTCATTAAAGCAGCAGTGAAATGAAGTTTTCAGACAGCTACTGAACTCGCTGCTCTGCTGTTACAACTCTGAATTACTGGTTTTGTAGTGCTCTCTTAACACTGTTTCGGACAAATGAATTGTGTGCAATGATTCAGCAACTGTTCTATTTTGCTTTAAAAAAACCCACAACTATCTAAAGCATACAATTCATTGTATTTATTGCTCCTTAACGGACTCTGTCTCCAGCTGGCAATCTTGCAGTTCCCTTTTCCCGATTCACCTACAGGCAAAGCTTCTTGCCAAGTTTACCTGCCCTGTCCCTGAAGATCACATTTCTGGTTTCAGTACTGCAAGCTATCACAAGCAGGACAGGGTAAATTCTGACCTCTTCTCTGTCTTCCTGAATACACCACTGTGGATGCCACAGTCCAGTCAGCAGAAACAAAGTCAGGAACTTGTACTCGCTGAACTGACAGTTCCAGGTCAGGTCCAGGAGAATCACCCAGTCCCGCTCCCTTGTCTTACCTCTGAGGAGCTTGTTCATCAGTTCTAAAACTTTGTCAGGGTTCTGTTGGTATTAAAGTTACACACATATAAAAGGTGCACGATGGGACATAAGTGTTTTAGTTTCACTGAAAAAGCAGAAAGGTCTCATGCAGTGGTGCCTAGTGCAAGCTCACAGATGCCTGTCTCCCACATAGAGTCAAGATCCTATTAGCTATGAGCAACATAGTGCTGCTGGCTCACGTGAAAAAGTATCTTCCCCTACTCTTCCACTAAAACAGTGGCTATGGTTGTATCCGCTTTTATTTCAAATATATTTTGAAAGGAAACAAGAGTACTCACTACAAAGCCCAACTATTTTAGACTTCAATTCAACACCTATGAAAATTGAAGGGCACACTCCAGGTAAATAACTTCACCAGCCAGAAAAAAATCAGGCATGGGACAATCTCTTCAAAACACCACATTGATCAAGGACCAGGATGTCTTAAATCACAATGGGATGGAGCACAAACCAGCTGGGTTTGCTCACTGAAACCCCTCTCCATGCAGCCAATGGCTCTGCTTTAACAGCAGCCGAAACCATCTGCTTGAATATCGGCAATTCAGTCTCCAAGATGAAACTTAACCTCTTAATCACAGGGAGAAAGTTTGGGAACAAAAATGGTGAATCAGGAACATATTCAAGGGAGCACACAGAAGATATATTTACCTTTGCAAGGTCATAGAGCTTTGCAGCTTCCTCAAACAATCCTTTATTTTCTGCTGCAGAAGCCACTTTGTTAATAATGGGTTTTGTGTCACTTGTAAACTTGTCTATCACTCCAGGCTAAAGAGGTGAGATAAAAACGAAAGGAGAGAAGAGAAGTCAGAATGCTTAAAAACTTCTGAATATTCTGTCAAGGCAATGAATATTTTACGCGTTAGATTATGATTAGAAATGGCCTGAACATTTCCATGGAAATGCGCAAAAGGGACATGTTAAAAATAGAAACAGCTCTTGCGAGAGAGACTTTCTTCAAAACAGAGTCAGCACCGAGACATCTGCAGTTTCCAATTCATCCAAAATGACCCAGATAACAGGTCTAATTCTACATTATTTTAATTGCTGATGACACATTACAGAAGAGAAGAAAACACAAAAGACTTCAGCATGTAATGTGCCGGGGGCTCCAGGGATGCTGTGTGTGTATATTGGCACGACAGGTTGCAAGTGAGATCTGATATGGATAAATGAAAGGGTGACGAAAATTTTAAAAGAAACAATAAACACAAGTGGAATAAAAGAGAGGAAAGTCAAGCATATCTGGAAAGGATTTTACTGTAGCTGAGGATTTAAATATAAGACTATATCATCTAGAAGAATTTATTTTAAAACTAAGATTGCTGGTTTCATGCCAAAGAAACACAAGAATACAGTTACTTTTAAAAGGAATTCAGTAAAGTCAAGAAAACAGCATTCACCACTAGGGGTATAATCTAAAACCTCTCTATCTTACAAAGAAGTGTAAAACGAAAACACATTTGTAAAGATTACTGAGTTACCTTGCTCTTGTGTGTGCAATCTCACTGCTTTTAAACCGACAGAAAAAAAAATCTAAAAGAAAACTCCCACCAGAAATAACTTTTTTCCTCTTCTCCCCCCCCCTTTTTTTTTTGACAGTAGCATGATCGCAGCATGAGCCCTAATCTTAAGACTTAAATGGTTCTGGAGCCTGCTTTACACAAAAAGCTGCCAATGTTGCTGCAGTGAACAGAAAAACTTCATTGATTACCTAAAATCTTAATCATTTGCACGCGCTCTCCTCTTTTCAGGTGAAACCTTCAGGTTTCCTTCATCTTCTGACCACGTAAGCTTCCATTTCACTTTTAGATTACTGCTTTTACATCAGAAGTAAGATCTATCACAACTAAAAATGGCTGATCTTCAATCCAATACTTGCCCTCATTTATATGGAGAGGACATATCAGTTGTGGCTATGCCTGTGGTCTGTTAGTCCTTGCTCCATTAATTACAAGAATTTTTAATGGGCTGCAATATGTTTCTCCTCTGAGGCGAGTGAGGATAATGTCATATAGATAGTTTTCATACACACCCCCCCTCAGTTAACAGAACAATCTCATACCCACTTATAAGCAAGGCATTTTTACTAATAGCTTTTTACTCACGCTAAACTCCACTTCCTACTGTACAGATGAAATTCTGACCTCACTGAAGTTACCTGATGTCATTTGTTTCTTTAATTACTGTTTCTGTTAGGGCACATCACAGATTATTCTGTGAAAGGATCTCATATTTGGAGAACCTGTAGACATTCAAACACAGTAATAATCTGGCTAGTGAAAAATAAAGAAAATCAAGATAGCCTCATGACTACTTTGGAAATCAAACATAGTTTGTACTTTTAATGTAAAATATAAACATAAATCGTCAACTCACCTTCCTACTACCATCGTTTTCCAGCTTTCCAAGAATCATATCAAACTGTATTCATACAGATGTAAAGTAAGAAAAAAGGAAACAAAAATAGAGATATGAACTTCACATATTTCACAGCATATTTACAAAGTACAAAGGTGCAGTCATGGGTGAATGAAGAACAGCGATCAATGTAAAAATGACTGATATATCAATAACAGGCAAAAAGACGTGATTAAATATCTTCACAATGACCACTGTGAGATCTCCCGTCATCTAGGCCTGCATCAGGCAGAAAGAGTAAACAACTATTTAAGACTGTCCTGCCTAATAAAGATTTCAATGAATAAATTAATTTCAGTTTAAGTGAGGAAGGCGAAACATGGCCAAACATACCTCTCTGCTTTCAATTACTAGCTCACTAACACAACGCAAGAACATATTCTCGCCTTGGCTGTCCTTCTCTTTCCTAAAAAAAAAAAAAAAAAAAAAAGGTGGAAGGTACTTCTGTTTCTAAGGACTTCCCAGACAACAATAATTATGGAGTAGTAACTAGGAGAAAATTGAGATACACATAAAAGCTCCTACCTGAGAAAGTAAAAATACTGCAGAGCTTCCCTTGGATCTGTTGATTCAAACTTACGCGTGTAAAGCATCAAAAGCCGCACAAAATTTAGACGCCTGATCCCAGGAGGGTCACCAGCCTCATGGCTTACTACAACGGCAGAAACAACACGATCAGAGAATCCAATGCCAGGAAACGTTGCTCTGATCTTCATCTCAAATCAGTCAGAGCCATGACTCCAGAGCTCTAACGCAACTAAACCAATTAACTTTTAGGAGATTGTTCTGATAAATGCTGCTTGTTCGATCAATTACATAGACCTTCAGTGTCTACAGAGTATTCTGTGGGCTCACAAAATACTTCTTTATTGTGAAGTAAACGTGAAGGACTTACATAGCTGCGCACTCTGCCCAGAAGATTTCAGGAGCAATTTTAACTCAAACAGGACCAATGCAACATGAATAGCATGACAACGCAAGCGCTCTGTCCGGAAGAGAAAAGCAATCGCAGCTTCAAACTGTGCTGTCAAGAACAGTACTTGGAAGTAGAGGAAAGGCTGCTGGTTCACTGCAAAATGTGATTCACCTGAAAAAAAACCAAACACCACACACACAGAGCATAAGTGAAAATGATTTTGCAATCAGAGATCACTGCCAGCGGGTGCTTCCTGTCACAGTGCATCACTATTGTTTATTCAGTGAAAACAGAAATAAACACACTAGACAAAACTGAATACCTAAATCACACAGCAGCGGCTTATCTAACTGCTTCACTGCAAACATATCACAAAAGACCACAACATAAAGAAGTACTGAGCAAGTGAAAGAGAATAAACACTTACTCAAAAAAGTACCTTTGTTCTTTTCAGACAATGAACCAATCGACTCTGACAGATTTCAATAGATTCTCTGAAGACCACAACTTTTTGTCTTCATTTATACTTATGCCAAGTGGTACAAATAATGCTACAAACCTGAATTTTGCTACTTGGTGACACCACTAGTAGATTATTCTATTTCTTTTCCACACATTTTTATCCGGGCGTGAGTGATGCTACAAACTAGAAGGCTGTGGAGAATGAAATTCGTCACATTTTAGATAGTCCAAGTGACCTAATTTTCATTGATTGGAATACGACTACAGGAAAAGGTGCTCTCTTGGGCTGCAGATGTTCCTGAAGAGGAAGGAACTGTGTTTTGGGTCCCCAGAAAATCACTTGATATAGTAATTTAAGGGAAACAATGAACAACTGATGCATGTAGGGTCTGTATTCCAAGAGTTTGAAGTTCTGCTAAAAGACCGTAGTGTATTTATGGCAAGAGAAAGCAATCCATAATTTCATATGGATAAAATACAACTAGCAGCCATGTCATTCATAGATGAATATTCACTCTCTGGATTGCTGGGAACACACAGGCTCTCACTCCTTGTGTCTTACTGAAGTCTGCCATCACTCTAGGGAAGCAGGCTGTCCATGAGCCCCTAACAATGTCAGTCGCTAGTGGAGAGCTGCAGGGTTTTATGTGGAGTCTAGGGTTTGTGTAATAACAACTGGAAAGCGCCCTGAGCAGAAAAGCAGAGCCCCAAGCAACATATGTCTTTGTGGTTTCTTACCATAGTCTTCTAGCAGCTGCTTCTGGAACTGTGACAACGTTAGTCGGTCTTGTGGAGAACTTGCGCCATTGTCATCAAAACACACTTGGTTCAACTAGAAAACGCATCCAAAACAAGAAGCACAAATATTTCAACTTGAAGGGATGCACTCAGAAGATACTCATTCCATCTGGAGCCCCTCCTAAGAGTTGACCAACTGACTAGAAACTACTTGTAGTCACAACGTCAGGAAGCAAAAGATCTCCAACGTAGCAACAGCAGAAATCCATGCAGACAGAACCCAGGGGTCCTTCTGTATTTGTCCAGGACATCAAACCCCAACGCTGGGTCTCTGAATAGTCAGGAAGCAATAATTAAAAGCAATATTTTTTTACCCGGTCTTAACAAATACATCATTCTACTCCCTCTTTCTGATAAAGGAGAGAAATGGATACTGACCAGTACCTATCATGCCCCCACCAAAACTGTAAGGACTTTGGACTATAGAGACACAGACAGCGTCGTCTTCTGCCAGCTGACACCACCATTTCAGCCATAATCCATCCAGAAAGGAAAATTCAAAGGATCTTCACTGTAGCAAACTAACACTACTTGTAAAAACAGCTGACAAAGATCAGTGCCAGACAAAGAACATAACCCTTCCAAAGACAAGTGTCCCCAGAGTAACACCCGATAGTACAGAGGGTACAGAGCAGCCCTAGGACTCGGCTTCTCAGCCCTTTGCTATCTGCAAGGTCAAGTCTGCACTGACACAGAACCAGAGACCTACAAGCAGGGGTTTAGCAGAGCAGTGCAGAAATGCAATACCATTTCGACCTGTTCTAAAAACACAAAATAAACCAACAAACACCACCTCAACACCAACACCGCACTTACTTTTAGCCAAAGATAATCTTCTGTTTTATCAGCAACTTCACTCTGGTTATCTGTAATGTCACAACGGCCGATAATACAATAAACAGCCCTTTTGTACGGGTCAGTATTATTTCTCAGAGCTCGTCTGTAATGAAGACGCAGTTTATTTTCTGTGGCAGGAGATAGTCTAAGGAAAAAAAAAGATTGAACGAAAAGACATGAAGCCCATCTTTCCCCATATGAGGAAACCTGGCTACAAATCAATGTCAATAGGTGCATATTTGTTGTCGCACAGCAAAGGCATAACGACAGTAAGTACTGGTCGATACTTTTTGCACCTTCTATTTACATCTGTTGGCAAAAATTTTGTACACATGAATTTAAATGTAAAATTACAATTATGGAGTATCATCTTCAAATACCCATTGCATGAAAAAATAAAAAAATAAATCAGATGACAGCCTCTTTAAGGGTGCATTAATACTGTGGTAGACGAGCTATTTTTGTCTGACTGCTATTTTATCTTTTCAGAAAGACAGCGAGCTCACAAAGTCGCTGGAACTCTTTTGAGTAGTAGCTAACAAGTAAGCAAGTCGTTGTACCATGAAGTCTTTCAGAAGAGACATTTTCATCTTTATCAGTGAACACTGTCATAATGTTTTTATTGTTCTTGTCATTATTTCTTGTACCCTCTTGTAGAGAATTTTACTGAATCTGTATGTGTTCTGAAAGTGAATACTGAAAGTGTTCTCCTGGACTAAGACACTGTTTGTCAAATCTGTAGGCAGAGCACCTTTTCACAGCTGTAACAAAACCAAAATAAATTAATTATACTGTATGTCATTAAAGTGTTTGTAATGAAAAAAATGACAGTACCTTCACTAAGGTTTCTGGAACAATCTTACTATAATGAGTACTCTCTCTACAAACCAGGTTAATTTCTAGAAGAATAACATGGCATACACTACTCTAAACGGCACTATGTTTTTTTTCCCCGATCAATTTGTTGGTTTTTTTACACATGCAAACAGATCTGTTCTTGCTCACATTTTCATACCTGAAAAGCCCAAATATATTCAACATATTGCAGGATGAGGGCTTCCCACATAAGAGCAAAATTGTCATCAGCTGAGGCGGGATGTTACAGGTTCACGTCCTGGCACTTACCTGGGCCCTCCAGTTTCCCCCAGTTTCAGCCAGCAGCTCAGCACAGTGCCATTCCCCTGAAGGCAGCATAGTTATAATGCAATAGCCGACTGTGTGCTTGTTTGAAATTCATTGCAAGGGGAAAGACAAACGAGATCACCTAAAACACCGCGGCAGAGTTCGAACCACACCTTAAGATGCACCAACTCAACTGTCTGAAGCCACATAATCAGTAGCTTGGCCTCTATCAAGTGATGGATAGCAAAAACTGGACGAGGAGAATAAACACAAGAAAGATGTGAGAGTGAATGCCTCTAAAGGCCTCTAACACACGTTACTTGCTTTTATTGTGTGGCATTCTTACGAACACAAGCGTAGTAAAAGCGTTCCCCAAAGGAAATTCAACTAAAAGAAGTGATGGGGGAAATAAAAAGACACAGGATTGGTGACAGCAGACAATCTGATCTGCTGTATGCAGTATCCTACTGTTACACAGGGCAGACCCCGTGGTAAAAAAGCAAAGCCACACCACTGTATTATTTTTGAAATGTAAATTTTTGCGTATTTTCAAACAATTCTTTCTCTATGGAGATTTCTAGACTTCAAAGTCACAAATCAAAATATGCAAGCTTCTTATATGTGATTTAGGCAGGTGTGCTGGTTTTGGCTGGGATAGAGTTAATTTTCTTCACAGCAGCTAGTATGCGGCTATGTTTTGGATTTGCGCAGAAAACAGTGTTGATAATACAGGGATATAACTGGGGTTAAACCATGACAGTAGGCGATACAAACACCAGGCAGCCATCACCAGCCGAAGAGACCCGAGCTGCTTCTATTTCTACCAAGCTACTGATTATTTCACTCCTCCACAGCAATTCTCACCCCTCACAAAGATCTTTTCTAGTTCCCAATTACCTTCTATCTTTACTGTGCATGTACTCCTGAAACCAGGTTTTGAACTCTCCCAGCTGGTGCTGTGCCCGTTTCACCACATGCATGGCTGCAGTCAAATCTCCACAGCGCATGCAGTAGTAAATCAGTGCCCAGACAGGATGGCCTTCCACCTCACCATCCTGAGAATAAAGTAAGAAATAATTAATTTTTTTTTAAAAAGCAGTATATTTGAATTAATTTTCTTTCTAATTTGCCTTATTATTTCTGCCCTTATACCCACACACTGAATTTGGTAAAAAATTCTGTTTGTGTTACAGAATCCAGAGGTCATGAGGCTGAAGTCCTGTGAAAGCTGTGCACATCCCAGCAGCAAAGGATGGGACTCTCTTCTGCTTGCCCAAATTTCATTCTGAGGGATGCTCCGACAATCACAGAACTAGCATGCAGGTATCCTCCCCACCCAGGAGGGACTGGGGTTAGATCACTGAGGTATTAAAGACATTTGTATTGAAACAGAAAGACATCCAAGTAAACATGGATCTCAGCAGGTAAGAAGAGTACAGCTAGACAGTCGCCAGTGTTATAACTTATTATTTCATTTAACTTCTAATTTTTCAACCCAGCCTGCCTGTTTATCTGGTAATTTTGTAGGTGCACTTTCTGTTACATGCAGGTGAGCAGGATTTTATTCAGATTGCTAAATAAAGGGCTTGAGCTACAATTCAGATTAATTCATTACACATTTGGTCATTAACAACTGGTGTCACCATCTTAAAATAAGTGACAAAAACAGAGAAAAAGCAAAACATGGAGATTACATCACAATGTATTTTAATACTTGCTTGCTGATCTCTAACAAGACTACCAGAAGAGACCATAAATTTTAGAATTTAGAACTCAAACTACTGGGCACCACCACACTTCGGAACTAGCTCTGAACTCAAAAGTGGTTTTGTCCATTATCTCCCATTTTCCTAATGAAAAATTCTCACGAAGGAATAAGAGCCTGTTCCCTAAAAGCAATTTAAACAACAGAAGAACTACTGGAGGCTGCCCTAGTTTCCTGGCTGTGCTGGAGCAAACAGATGTGTGGTGGTGTTCTAGCTCAGTTGCTTAAAGTGATGGACATACCTGGAGACCAGGGACAGGCGCAGGGAGTTTGATGTTCAAGAAGCTGTGGACTAGTTGGTAGGTCCCTGGGACTCCACCCAGCTGCGCCTGGTGCAAGTTGCCAAAGACTGTCACAAAGGTGTAATTTTTGTAACTGGAAAACAAGACAGGCAAGCCAAACGGGAACAGACTGAAATATATTTGCTACAAAAACATCCACTGTCTTTCAGATCCAACAGAATTAGCAACTTAAAGCAAATGACCTTGATGTTCAAACATGATCATAACAAAATCAGGCGAAAGCTTCTGTCGATTTAGAAAGGTCCTTTTATTCAGCAGTCTCATGAGAAACCATGTTTGGAGTCTGTGGTGTATCGCTCCAGGTTCAAGTCTACCATGAGGTCCTTCTCATTAGGGTCTCTTAGTACTAAGTTAAACTCAATTACTTAACTGGCAAAAAGCTTTTCCAGCCTAATGCTTTAACTCTCAATCCTGTCACAAAAGAACAGTTAAACACTGCAGATGTGTTTGTCTCTCCTCCCTGCCCTATGGACAAATACAAACCTAAGGACCATGGAACTACCAGAAGGAAATCACAGAGAAAAAGGGAACTTAGAGAAAAACAACTGGTAAAGGGAGCTTTGACAACACCCTGTCAAATAACCCATCAAAGCCACTAATCAAGGCAGACCAGTTTAACAAGTATTCACGCTTAGAAGCAGGAGTCTCAAAAGTCTGCACACTGAATATCTATATAAGCAGCAGCAGTAAATCAGATGAAGTTCTTTTTTTCTCTGCAGCACACGATACTCGTGCACCACCAGCCTACAAAACTGAAAGGCTATGCTTAACGTAGGCAAGCGTCAGTGTATCTTGATAACTAACAACATTAATGCTGAGTTAAGCACACGCTCCTCAGGGCTTAGATCACAGTTGCTCCAAAGCAACTAATGCACGAACAGCTGTGAGCAGCATTACATCTCCCTGTACGCGTGAGGGGCTGGTGAGGCATGGAAACATCTCAACATTAGCCAATTCCTGCTAGAAAAGCAAAGCTACAAAAATCACAAGGTTGGGGTTTTTTTTTTGAAAAGAAAACACCCAAGCCTGAAGAGCGCAGTTTCCACAACTAGGAGGGTTGAGGGGGAACTATATGTAACTAATTCCTAATATCAGTTAGCAGGTAACAGCACTGCAAAAATTTCGCAACCTGGATATCTGGCAAATCACGTTAACAGTCACTGGCTCATCGCACACTGCTGAGACCGAGGAACTGGAACCAGAAGATCCTTCCAGTGTGTCAGTTCATCCACACGCAGGCGGACACACCGCCACCACCCCTGGGTGACAGCAAGTGCTGATGAGGTGTGGCAACCAACTGCCAGGGGCCAAGAAGGGGCCGGGCCAGGAGGTAAAAACATCTCTTCCCAGGGTGCTGTACCAGAGCACAGCACTTTCTGTGCTCAGATAGCAGACCTGTGGCTGTAACAAATGCCCACGCACTACACCGCAGCTATTGTTTGCTTTGCACTGCTGCACTAGCCCACGGGCGTTACATTGGCAGCTACCAGATAAGAGACACTGCAATATCCACGTGTGCAGTGAATAGGTAATATGGCCGTCCAGGCATTCAGCTTTGGGCTGCTCCACAGCCTGCAATTCTCCAAGGATTTTCTTGGTCAAGGAGCTTCGGCCCCCATGATACTTGGTGCTACAGACAGTAAACCACTTTCCAGAGTGAAAAATCACAGCTAGATGTCTCAGCTTCAGCCTCTTCAAATTTCACAACCACCTTTCAGTGTAGAAGTAGCACGATCAGAACCTGACTCACTGCACCAGATTTGTCCCCAGTGCTGTCCTCACTTCCCCCCAGCACTGGCTGCTGACAGTGATCAGCAATCAGAAAGGGAATACATAGAAAAGGGGAAATTTTTCTGCAGAGAGGAAATAGAGCTCTTTCCACATGTGAAAAATCTTCACGTATCACTATGACAGACATAGAATATTTAAGGGCAACATAGAAGAAAGAATAAAAGGTCTTCGTGTCTTCTAAACAACCTCCCCATGGATCTGAGGACTTTTTAATGAGAACAGTTTTTAATCAAAACAGTTTTATACTCAAGCGGTTGCTCTAAGCCCTACAGAACAGAAAAGACAGGCAAGTGACACTTCTGTGAGCAGCACGAGGTAGCTGACTTGTTAATAGCTTTGTGTGCATTACAAAGTTATTCTGGTTTATTATTAGGGAACTCTAATAAACTGTGCTACCCAGAGCATTCACCTTACCTTTGTTCTAGGTAGTGCAGAGCCTGCCTCACGAACTCCATACGCACCTCCATGTTGGTCCGGACTTTCAAGGCATCGCTAGCAGGAACCAGGGTAACATCGGTCATTTGTTTCACCATGGCCCACATCTCAGAGATGTTCTATAAACAAGCCAGTCCATGCAGAAGTGATTAGTACAGAGACGAACAAGCAACATTGCTTTGAGCTACGTGGCGTTTTGATGCTTAAGAAAAGCATAAAAACACAAGAGTAACGTCCGTTTAGATTTGTAACGCAGTTATTCAGTGCAGTCATGAAGGTCAGCCACTTCTGTCCTGCAGAATTCAAATTTCCCAGGCTTCTCTGTATAATCCTTGTGCAAGAAGATGCCTATAAATATTGGACCTGCAATTGTCACCAGGATCAACAACGATTTCCAAAACTAGGCTGGGTACTTGGTGCTCAGCCTCCTTGTCCATTTCCAGTTCATACCTCCCACTCAGTAAATACCACAGCAACAGCAGCTTTCCCTATAGGCAACTGCAATTAGAAAGCTGTGCAATCAGCTGTGATAAGAAATATCTAACAGACACTGATCACTTAGACAAAGCCTGAGGTCTGAGAAAGGTTAAAAATTATCCAGGTCTGCTCATTCACAAGGATGAGATCGTATCAGTGTCTACAGCACTAGGGTATCCCTGCTGAAACAGCAAAATACTGAGCAGTGACAGCACTGTCAGCTTTAGCAAGGGCAGCTGTTTGCTCTCGGTGCTTCAGAGCAGCAAAAACACTGAAACTCACCCGGCTGTCCCTAGCCAAATGAACACAGCTGTTCAAAGCAAAGGTGAACAGCTGTAAATCAGATCTGATTGAAGCATTTGATCCTCAGTTCCTGAACAGCTTTTTGCTCTCCCCATTTACAAAGTTTATTCATGACTTGGCCCTCCTGCAGTATTCCCCTCCAAGCATTTCTCAAAGGTGGCCAGGTTTGTGCATTGGGTTTTTTTGGGTAAATCAAGGCAATTCAGTTAAAGGAGTGGGGAAAAAAAGAAAAGCAGGTAGATCGTTGGTTTAAAGTCAATCCTAGGGGCTTTATGCTTTGCTATGGGAGCCTATTTCAGCTCTAGCAGGGTCTGAAAACCCTTCACTTACAACTAAAGACATTGAAAGGATATTACAGAATCACAGAATCACAGAATGGTCGGGGTTGGAAGGGACCTCTGTGGGTCATCTAGTCCA